TAGTATTCTCTGTTAGCATTTCGGTCGGACATGACCTAAGGTTTAATATGTCTGGACAGTGAATCCGAGAATTCATGGATATAACAGCAACGCTCAGAAAAAAAGTAGGCCAAGAAATAGCAGCGGATAGCTCTTGTGTAGCTTTGCGGAAAAATCGGAAACTGTTAATATGAGTTACAAGTTTATCCTGGAGCACGCGCAGTGTTCTAACATGCATTAAAAACAACTTAATTTTGTCTCAAAATACATAAGCTTGGAAAGTACTGTACACCAATGATAAACACTGATGGTAAAGTCACTTGCTCGACAGAATAGTTTCAACATTTATGTATCTGGCGCTTATGCCTGAGGAAATGTATTAAATGAAACACGTGAACATTTTGTTCTGCTTTCTATCAAAATACGTAAGCATCTAATTTTACCAATACCACATCCCATGATTAAATATGTGATAAAAAAATGTTAAAAATTAGATTAAATATTAAAGGTTCAAGCTTTAATTCGAAAAAAACAAACAAAAATATTAATTTAATTTATAATTACTAGATGGCACTACACGAGTTGCTATATCTTAATTTAAGGGAGTGCTTCTTTCTACTACTGCCCCCCAGTGGCACAGCGGTATGTCTGCGGACTTACGACGCTAGAAACCGGGTTTCGATACCCGTGGTGGGCAGAGCACAGATAGCCCTTGTGTAGCTTTGTGCATAATTAAAAAACAAACAAACTTTCAACTACTTCGTGCTCCATTACATAATTTAGGCAAATGAACATAGGTCAAGGATGAATAGCAGTTTTTCAAGTCACATCATGTTTTGTATAAATTAAGTAGTGCTCATCGCAAAAGAAATAATAATGAAGATTACTCTCTTTATAATTGGTTGCAGTATTTTACTTAATACATGTCTGTAAAAGCGGGTTCCACTACTGATACGTGCACGTGAACGCTTTCTGACAGAAAGGTAGTACAGCCTCTATAGAAGAACTACGAATTCTAATACTCACAGTAGAAAACGCTTTGCACAAATTCGTGATTCAACAGCCACAAGGATTGCTTGAACTCTTATAGTCTTGGCCAAAATGTTTGCATATTTTTCTAGATTAATGTTATTGTCTACATGCATGGAGTAAATGCCCGAGTAGTAACTGATAAAGCAGCGTATGATCGGAAAAACATGTACGAGTTGTTATTCTGGTATGTACAGGTTATTTTGAGCATTTTTTCATCAAACACACATACACTCTTGTTTTGTATAAAAGGGTGTGCGTTTGGTATAATCGTTTTCGATATAGATCAATGCTTTGTTTAGACAATTTCTCTGTAGTTGGTTATTCCAGGAAAGGATACTGGTAGACTACTACCCGAGATGACCGTGTTTTGATCAGTTTAATACTTTTAGGTTGAAAGAAGTATTTCAAAACCTTACGACACATTCATTCCAGGGTATCCAGAAAAACGGTGAATAGTAGACTGACAAACAAGGTTATTTTGCAAGAAGGGCTACCTGCAAACCGATATTAACCAGAATCCATCACCGTCACCGTGTTACTTCAGATGAGTCCTGTTTCCGGCTTGTTAAAGCTGATGGTAGGATTCGTACTCGTCGCTTGCCTGGATTACAGATGAGGGAAAACTGTGTTTCCCACAAGGAACACACAGGAAGTAGTGCAGTACATGTTTGGGCAGCTACTCATCATGGTTGCAAAACTGCTCTTCATATTCTCCAGGAAAACGTCAATGGCGCTTCCAACAGGAATGACATGGACACGATATTTCTGCCATATGCTAGGGAAAGGTTTGGCAATGACTTTATGTTCCAGGATGACAATGCCACTGCCCACAGTGCTCGTATTGTACAGGTTTATCTCGAGTAGGAGGACGTTACAGGAATGCCATGGCCAGTAACGTCTCCAGATTGCAATCCTATTAAGAATTGTTGGGCAGAACTGAGCTGGAAAACGGCTAACCGCGAACCTAAAGCAGGTGCTGTAAAAGAGTTGTAGCGCCATCTAGTGACAAATTGGGATAAAATCACGGTGGATTACATCAATAACTCATCGACAGCATACCACGTCATCTTGTGGAGGTTATTAGAGTACGAGGAGGATCAATAAAGTTTTGAATGTTTAATATGTACTGATATAAGGTTACAGACGCTATTTATAAAAGTTTGATGTTATACTTTGTCATTATATATGCTTTAGTAAGGTTTTGTTGGGATAAGTGAAATGATGAATTACACATCTTTCTACAGGTGTATGATAAAATTATTTGCTGTTCTAATAAATCGTTCATTATGTCCATAGAGTCTGTCTCATTATATAAATTACATAAGTAAATGTTTAATATACCATGTATTTCTCAGTTTGACATCGCTAAGAGTATTTGTATTACATTTTAATAATAATGACCTTATTTGTTACAAACTTTTTGTGACAAACATTTTGGCTAAGACTGTACTTTAAAGCTGGGAAGTAAAGATTGATCAGACCGTGATTGTTTTAGAATATTAATAACTCGTATTTTTTATTATGATTTTTAGAAATATCCTATAAAGAAATATCTTTATCAATTTTTATAATATTGAATATTTTGGGTGCAGAAATACGCTTTGTAAAATATGTATTTTAATTCACGAAACCGAGGTTACAAGTTATACATGTGAAGCATGAAAAACGATGAAATTGTACGACTCCATAGGACTGATAATGCTAAAAATCAAGTTCCGATATCAGCAGTTGGCCCAATACAGATCATACATTCTATGGCTTTGCCCTTAACAACAAACAAGTTGAGTACACTGAAATGGACAACAACTGCCTGTTGTAGAAAAAACACAAGTGTGGAGGACGACGTTTCGAAAGTTTCCCGTCCTTCATCTTCAGGAAAAACTTTCAAAACGTCCTCCTCTACACCTATGTTTTTCTACAACAGGCAGTTGTCATCCATTCCAGTGTTTGTTTTTTGAAGTTAAGCACAAAGCTACACAATGGGCTATCTGTGCTCTGCCCACCACGAGTATCGAAACTCTGTTTCTAGCGTTGTAAATCCACAGATATACCGCTGTGCCACTGGGGGGCCTATTCCAGCGTACTCATCATGAATACTCTGCATAAACAATCTAACAAAGAACAAACACGTTGTTTTGGAGGTTTTTTACAATATAACATCTAAACTTTGCCCAGAGTAAAAGTTTATAGTCAAAATGTGAAGACATATGTGTGAAGGGAAAATTTAATTTTGAAAAAGAAACCTATCTGATTTCAATAATACATCTGTAGATTAACCGTTCTGGGTTTTTAGATTCATGGTGCTTGTAGTTCAAGATAGATTTTAAATGATATAAAAATAAAACTAATTTTGACTATCTTATCTAGCTTTCAAACAATATATTTAGCCATTTTCTTTATAATTTTCTAACAGATAGCAAAATATGTTGCCTATTTAGTAAAATGCAAAGTTTTTTTATGTAATTATTCCTTTTACAACTATTCGTTCTAACCTTACTATTAATTTGTTTTAATTATTCGCAGTTTTTTTCAAGAACTTTGTGACGTATCTACTTGTAATTAACATTAGGAAGTTGAACAAATATACAGTTATTGCTCTACTTGCTTTTCTTTAAGAACAAAGTTGCACAATAGGCTGTCTGCACAGTTCCCACCACTAGATCGAACCTTGAATTACAACGTTATAAGCCTCAAGCTCATCACTGAACCACTAGGGAGCACAATGGTTATGACAGACGTTTTAGGGACACTATTCAAATATTAAGTATTATTACAGTTCTTATAAGTAAATTTTCATGAAATGTTGTCCCCAGTGGATTAGAAGTAAGTTTATTTTTTTTTGCAACGCTAAAATCCGAGGTTCGATTTCTCGTGTTGAGCAGGGAGCAGATACCCTATTTTGTAGATTTGCGCTAAAACAAACAAACATAAATTTTGGTTCGAACAAGCCTTACGATTATTTACTTATATTTCTAAGGAAAGACGTTAATGAGTTGAAACAAAATGAATCTCGTATGTTTTTTTTTTCGTTTTTATTTTTTATATATTTACTCACAAAGCCCAGCAAACCAATTTATATATCAAAATTTGATTATTTACTATGTTCTGCTTAGTACTCTTATAACTTATTTGACATTCTAGCAGGAAGGAAAATGCAACCATTTTGTCCTAAAATGTGCAGTACTATAATTAATATGTTAAATAAATTCCACATTTATTGATCCGTCACCATGGATTGTTCCTTAATTATTAAACACAACTTTGATAAAACATTACACATTTAAAATGTAACAAGCGAAATTCTATGATATATATATATATATATATATAGCCAGTTTTAAAAGAATTAACAATAAATTTTAATAGAACAATTAGCATTTGATTTAAAGCAGTAGCTTTTGAAGAAAAAACTATATATATTGCAACATGTTTTAAGGAATAGTTACATCAATATCTAAGATTTTTTAAGCTAATGTTTCAATAAACAAAAATGTCTATACATATATTTTAATTTCATTAAAAAAACATAACTAACAGTAGTGCATTCGGTTAGCGTAATGACTGAAAACTTGCTAACCTAGTAAACAGTATAATTGTGATGTAAACCTTCCGTTTACGTTTAATTCGTATCATTCCCCGCGTGTGTTTTTTCAGAATAAAAAAAAACGAACGTTAAGAGTCCAAGGGCCCCGGGTTCAAGAATGTGCTTCGCAATGAATCGAAATTTCGAGTAGATTTCTATTGTTACAATAAACATCAAAATCGAATGTTTAAAATTACTTAATGGCTACATTTCGGTTCGTGTAGTCCATAAAACTGGGAGCCATTTATGTTCACTGACATTGGAGAACTCGGGACCAATGTTTTCGTCACTATCTTATAACGCAGAAGGAAATTATGACAACTTAGAGGGAATCTCTGACATATGGCACCAAAAACATGAGACCTGTATTCAGTGTATTTGTACCCCAGCAGGGCATATCTGGTTATTTTATATTCATATTGACAAGCCTCTAGTTATATTATGTTACTAGTTATTTATAATAATAATAACTTTTTAACCAAGAAACTTGTTGCTATTTATTTGTCCACGTTTTTTCTAAAAGTTATTTAGTTAGAATATTTGATAATCATAATCGGAGTTAGATATCAATATCGATTCGAATTGAAAAAGTAATAATTATTCAGCACTAGTTCAATATGACGTGCTACCAAACACGCTTCGCCATTTTGGCTGTGGTTTCGTTATAACAGTGACAGTTAATAACGTTGTTCAGATAAAAGTAGCAACTTCAAGAGACAGGTGATGCCAAAGTTGACTTCGCTATTGTCCCTGTGTAGAAATATTGACGTCTTTGCCTGAACCACGAGGAGTCTCTCATATGGCCGTTTAACCCATTATGTGCATAAAGTGTCATTCGAGTGAACAAACAAATCGACAAAAAAAACTACAGTTTTTATATCTATGTATTAGAAATAATAATTTATAAATCTTTCAAATGAATCCTTTATTTTTTGTCAGCAATAAACACTGCACGCAGTGGATCATTGTTTTTATGGAAAATCCTGATTCTTGAAGATAACGAGTTTTATAGCGATTTGTTACTGAAGCACAAACATTTTATCTGATAGTCATATTTACTTAAAATAAACAAGAAGATGCAAAATATGTCTTACTTGAAAATAACTTTTCCATCTGCAACCTATTTCAATGTTGTTAAGATTTTCTTTTGTTGAGAAGATTGCCTTTCATTTGGTTTTTCAGGCAATTGTTACTTGCTAGAATTATAACACTAGATTTATTAGAGGCTGAGTTGGGGCTAAACATAAAATATAAAACATTAAAGAAATGTTTACCTTCAGGTTAGGTTTTCAAATAATAAGAGTAAAAATTACATAAATTTAAACTTAATAAATAAATCATTGTTTACCGTCAATGGGTATATGAGTTTTTAACCTTTTCTTGAGATATTTGAGAAACAATTTTTGTTCATGGTAAGGCGTTATTTCTATACAGGAAAGAATAAAAACAAAGCTTATCACAACGGCTATCAGAACCACCAACATAATGTACATTCTTTTTGTGAAATTTTGAAAAATGTCCTCCTCTTCGTATTGACTTAATTGTCTCTTATCTCCGGAGCTGTCTGTCACTTCGTTACTGCCGAATGATAACGATCTAAGTCTTCCCATCAAAGGAATAGGCCTAGCACCAACAGGATGTCCACTGTTCATTGACGAAAAGGATTGAGATCGACTATAATGAGGCGGCGTTCCACTTCTAGTAAGGTTATGAGCAGAATGTCTGATTCTGGCGGATGTCCCTCCAGTTGCTGCGTGTCCATCAGGTAGTCGGTCGCGTGTAGCCGCAGCTCTTTTATGAAACAGTCGCATAGTTACATTAATAGTTTTTACTTCTTCATTCGTTCAATTTAAATTGTCTGTAGGTCTGAAAGAAACATCATTAAAATATATGAATCAGTTCACAAATGCCCAGCATTTTCCATGTGTTGGAGAACATTTGAAACAAATAAAAATAAAGCCGCATCAACAAACAATGTTCAGTAAAAATTATGAAGCAGTGAGTTGATGCCAAACAGAGAAAATTCTCGCAAAACCACGTTCGCTGAACAAAGAACAATGTAACTTAAGCGAAAATGGATTTAAAATGGTCCAAGAACTCTAAGAGTATCTATCTTTCCAATCTACTCTGATGATCAATTATATATGTATATTCTTCGTTCCTCGTCTTTTAAATAAAGCCTTTAACTGCTGTATAGGGAAGTTTTTCAATATCAACTTTCTACTGCTTAGGTTGTCAATGGTTGTTACCTGGAAAATGTTATTGGTTTTAGATAAATAAATTAAAGTACAAATACTTAGACTAATAATTGAATTCTAAACCACATTTTATAAAAGAGTACCAGTCAAATCTAGTAGATAGGATTTACCATGAAATTTATTTTATTCCAAGAAAATTTAAACAAACAAAATTGTGATAGGCCTAATACTTAACCTTGTAAAAGTTCACAAATTACATACATATCTTGACGTATATAAACAATTATCTTAAAATATGTATTCTTTAGAATATAAAATTGAACTACAGCGATTGAATTTGTTATTATAAAATGTGCAGATGAATAAAGATATTAAAGTAACAACTTATTTCAAGAGAAATCGAATCACCACTAGTATGACTGCATTTCGTATTACTTTGTAAGCCCCCCAGTGACACAGCGGTACGTCTGCGAACTTTCAACGCTAGAAACCGGGTTTCGATACCCGTGGTGGCCAGAGAACAGTCCTCCCAATGTGTAGCTTTGTGCTTAACTAAAAACAAACAATTACTTTGTAATCGATCGAGATCAAAAAGCAAAAAAATTACGAAACTGACCTGCAAAAAAGAATACAAAACCTTTACACAGATTATATAGTCTATATATACATTACTACCAACTATATTTGTACATATTAGTTATTTAGTCTTTTATATTTCATTCAGTAAAATATACACTTAAATTTCTTTTTAAGCGTAAAGCTACACAATGGGCTATCAGTACTCTGCCAACCACGGGTATCTAAACCCGATTTTTAGCGTTGTAAGCCTACGGATTTACCGCCGAGCCACTAGGAGCATACAGTTAGCTTTCTATCACAAGTTTGTCATGGGTTCTATACTTTGTGCGAAACTCACAATCGCCATCTGTTCGTAAGCGAGAACATCCTGGAATTCACGTTACTGGTATGTTAATTGATCTAGGCAAAATTTGGTATAAATACATGATCTTCAATTTGACCAACAGAAACCCGACAGTAGGACCACATGACCCATGATATTAACTGAGATATGAAGAACAACCCCCCAAAATGTGTATTAATGTTTCTCCGTCACTTTGTTGTGTTCTTTAACATTACTACAACGTTACTCATTACACAGGCAACATAGTAGCTTGAATGATGTTCCACTCAGGCGTCATTATATTATAACAGTTTTTCGTTCAGCGCCCTCTCTCTCTGTTCACTCAGGATATAAGTGAATTTCTGGTAATAAAATCATTCGTAATAAAAGATCTGTATATTACATTAAGTCTGAATGAGGATTTGTTCTGGGTTTAGTACATTGTAATACAAGCTGATCCTCCATACAGCATAAACATTACCAAGTAGAAATAACATCTGATTGAACTTTATTTGACATTTCACTGAAAATTTGGTAACTGTTAAATACCATGAATAATGAGCTCCTTTATATTCTGCTTCAGAAAGGGAAAATGAGGCCTCTTCTAGAGAAAATTCACGCAGTTCGTTTTCTTATTTCGTCTGAAGTGGAGGTTCGTTATGATCAAGCTACGCTAGTATTACCTGGGTCTGTACTGGCTCCCACCAAGGCAGTAAAGCTTCGAGGTTGTTGCGTGATTCTCTAGGGAAGGATGTTATGTTTTTCCTAATGCATTAGTGGGCGTCGGATCTAGGTTAGTTCCTTATATAAGATTATTAATGACCCTCGAGATAATAAGAGAGAAAACAACAGCACGGCAAATTTAATACTTGAAGAACTTACTCCAAAGAATTTATAGATTTGGTATGTTAAACGATTTAGCTAATCTTTGACAAATCTGATCGAGGTATTTTGTTTCTATAAGGCTATTAATGACCCTCGAGATAATAAGAAAGAAAACAATAGCACGGCGAATTTAATACTTAAAGAACTTACTACGGAGAAGGAAGAAGAATTTAAATTTCTTATGCTATACGATGTAGGTAATCTTTGTCAAAAGTGCGACTGGTGCGCCTAGTTATGAACCCAATGTCTAATTAAACACAATAAGGAAATTTGAAACTATTGTGACTTACTATTGGTGCTTTGCATTGAATGAAAATAATTCTTGTATACTATTATTCTATTTGTTTGTATGTACGACCGTTAGCTTTCTGACCGAGAACCTGCTGCATAAGCAT